ATAACTTGAATATTACAGGTAAATTTCGATGGATATTTATAAAAAAAATCCTTGTGCCACATGAGTTTATCATTGTTGTGCAGTAAATTAAAAAAATAATTAAATAATGTTTACACAATAATTAGTATTATCATAAGCTCACCTGTCACAAAGTGACATGGTGAGCTTCTGATCGCTTTTCGTCTGGCGTCCGTCCGTAAACTTTTACTTTGAACGACATCTATTCATAAATTGCTAAGCCAATTTCATCCAAACTTCACAGGAATGTTCTTTGGTAGTCAACTTTGAAAATTGATCAAAGAATTTAATTCCAAGCAGAACTCTGATTTCCATGGCAACCGAAAGAAAAAAACTTAAAATATCTTCTTTTAGAAAACCGAAAGAGCTAGAGCTGAAATAATTGGCATGAACCCTCATCTAGTGGGTGTCTACAAAGTTTGTTCAAATAAATGCCCTGTGGTCAAAATTGGCCCCGTCCCAGGGGGTCATTGATTTTCCTTATTTGAATATAGTAAAAACTTAAAGAAATCTTCTTTAAAAAAAACGAAATAGCTAGAGCTTAGATATTAGGCATGAAACATCTTCTAGTTGGTGTCTACAAATTTGTTCAAATTAAACACCTGGGGTAAAAATTGGCCCAGCCCCAGGGGGTCATTGATTATCCTGATTTGTATATAGTAAAAACTTCAAAAATCTTCTTTTAAAATACCCAAATATCTAGAGCTTAGATATTAGGCATGAAACATCTTCTAGTGGGTGTCTACCAAGTTTGTTCAAATAAGGGCCCTTTGGGTAAAATTGGCCCCACCCCAGGGGTCATTGATTTTCCTTTTATGTGTATAGTAAAAACTTAAAAAATCTTATTATAAAACACCCAAAGAGCTAGAGTTTAGCATGAAATATCTTCTAGTGAGAGTCTACCAAGTTTGTTCAAATAAGAGCCCTGGGGTCAAAATTGGCCCCTCCCGGGGGGGTCATTGTTTTTCCTTATATGTTTATAGTAAAACTCTAAAAATCTTCTTGTAAAAACCCCAAAGAGGTAGCGCTTAGATATTTATCATGACACATCTTCTAATGCGTGTCTACCAAGTTTGTTTAAATAAAAGCCCCTGGTTTAAAATTTACCTTGGCCCAGGTGCCTATATACAGGTGAGCGATTTCAGGGCCATCATGGCCTTCTTGTTTTTGAATTGCATTAGTGGATCTTCAACTGATTTTTGATAATTAGCGTTGTTAAGTTCTATGTTTTAGTGATACACATTTTCCTGCTTATATTGTTACATAATGATGTAATATGTGAAACCTCTGTGATATTTTGGTAAATAATACATTCACTATTCTATAATAGTAATTCTTGTAATCCAATAATTTTTAGGAGTATAAAAATGTTTGAAGAGCATTTTAATTGATACCATGACATTGTTTATATCTATGTTTTGTGTTAATTCTGATAATAGTTTTCACCATATATATTGTGAAGTTGACACAGCATTATCTTTCTTTTATAATCTGCAATTTGTATGATGATATTGTCAATTTAGTACAATATTTAGCATACTTTTGTCCCTCTAATTTAAAAAGTAAAACACCTGTCTGCTCAAAGCTATGTTTAAACTTAAACCTGTTTCCATTGTTAATTTAATCTAAAGTTGATTCAACACATTCACGTTAGTTTACTGGTAGCTATGAAAACATTGTTACTCACATGGCATAACAAATGAGTATTCCATCAAACTCTTCAAATATTTGATATCAGGAGGTAACAGTAGCTTTACACAAGTTTTCTTTCCTATCTGTAAAGATGGAACTCTTTTATACGGCCTGTTAACAGCCTTACATAATTGTAATCTAAGATTTTATATTTTTGGTATCAGGAAAGAAAAGAATGAGGATTGTAAAGTTGTATAATTCTGACATGTATCTCTCATGTGAACATATAAAAAACGCAGGTAATAAAATTCACAAAAATCGGAAAGGCTTTTATTCAAAGATTGAAATTTGGAAATATTTCAATTTATATAAACAAAGACTGAATAAAAAAGTTCATGTAGCATTTTTGTGTTGATTTAAACCTTCCAACATTTGTATTATATAATTATGTATGTTATTTGTGCCATGCCTGTTTCCTCTGAAACGGTCTGATTAATGTTGACTTTATATATCTTATGATTTGTTACATAATACAGTTTCTGTTAAGTTTTAATTCTGATGTCATTATTGTAAACTTATCAAATAAAATGTTTATCAACTCGTATATAATTATCCTTGTTAAATGGTCATCATATTGGAATATTAATAAGTGAACACCAGTTGATAGAAAGAAATGAACTGGAATATCTGCACCGGCCATTGTATAGAATAGATCACGATGATCACTTATAAAAGAAGAAAGACATCTGAGACAACGATGCCCAGACCTAAGATATAATTGGCATGTATCACTACATTGTGCTACACAAAATACCTGATATTAATCGTGCCCGTTGGGTCAATATTTGCCCGGCCCTGGGGTCATTTAGTTAATTTAGTTTTCAATAGGAAAATACATTTATTAATAAGTCTTATTTTAGAGAAAACTACCATGCCTAGAGCTTAGATATTTGACATGAAGCATTGTTAAACTGGCCTTTACAAAATGGTACTAGTATTTAATCATGCCCCTTCGGTTCATATTGGCCTGTCCCGGAGCTCACTTAGTTAATAATATTACATACATGTAGTTTTCGAAAGGAAAACACATTTAAGTTTTATTTTGGTGAGACTGCAATGGCAGGAAATAAGATATTAGACATGTAGCAATTCCTTGAAGGCCTCTTCAAAATAAACTTGATTTATATTGACTTACAAAGGAAAACACTTCTGAGACTTAATGTTTGAAACTACGAAACCAAGAGCTTAGATATTTGGCATGTAACATCACTTTGTTTTCTTATCTCCATAAACAAATAATGGATTTTACAACTGCATGCCTGTAGTATACCGGGATTCAATATCGCCTTAGGTTCCACAGGATATACTTTGAAGAATTTTGATGACTAAATATTATATATGTACATTATTTAGTATGTCAATATTGTATATATGAAAACCAAGTTAAGTTTAATTTTATCAAATTATTGTTGATAGAGTCATCCCAAATTTTTAAAACTATTTGGACCTTTTAGGATTTTGCTTTTATGCAAATTTGAAATCAACAATTCTTGAACAAAAGTATAATTTCAAGCCAAAATGAAATGACTAAATTTAGATATCTTCTGTTGCTATTATGTACATGTATATTATACAGGATAAGAGATCTTGGGCTATTACGTCCCTCTTAATTTTGTATCAATGTTGATCTTCAATAATTAATACGCCATCGCCCCAAATATGAGTTGACGTTGTTCAGCTTCATAAAAGCATTTGATTATAAGGATATCAGATATGACTAACACTTCTATCAATGCCCTGACTACAAATGAGCTCGCAGATTTCGTACTTTTCGTCTGTGAAAACATGAATTGTGAAAATAACACATTGTTTCAACGGTCTGCAGCGTAAACTTTCTTTCTTTAAGTTTATTTTGACCTTTCCTAGCCCTTCATAACTTACAGAAGTAAGCAAGTCAAAATGTATATTTTGTAAATTATCTTACCAAGTCATTTGATAAAGTGACAGTAAATGCTACTTTACAGAACTCTAGAAGATGTGGCGAGTGCCACTTCATGCCAGATACAAACATTTTGGTGTGAAGTTCCAAATGCTACAATCCCAGCACATACACTCAGCATGTATATCAATAAAACTTAATTTTCTCTTTTTTAATATTCTTATTTCAAAGTCTATAATAAACACGTTATTTGGATGTTTATGCGTTTGGTGCTACACAACCAAAGTACCCGTGTTCCTAGATGAAACATAAGCTTTTTTTTATCTTTCATATAAACCGCTGAATGCTCGGGCGATGCGTAATTTCTTCGTGTCAACTGCTCTCGCCTTTTGTGTCTAATGGCCGTTGATTCAAATATCGTGTGAAAGCTTGAGGTAGCACTGTAATCATCTTTAACTACAACATTATAAATTCGCTGTGGTTTTCTCCAGGTAAAAACATCTTCTATTAGGAATATTACAACTGTTTAGACTTTTGGCACAATCTTTTATCACTCTTTAACTGGTAAAAACTCCTTTAAATTAGAATATCAAATCTACCAAAAACTTGATCGCATGCCACCATACAATACAAAGTTCAGTTAAACATGGAGTTTTGATTCAACGGACATTGGAAGGTTCGCATATCTTCCTGTTTCTATATCAAAGGACGTTACGTTAAATCAAAACTTGCAAAACGCCACTGTATTTTTTCTACACCTATTGTATTTTAAACCAACTTATTACAACCGTTTTTAGATGTACCACTTTTCATTAAAATGTGTTAGTAAAGCAGTTCTTAGACTATCATACAACTACATTATATTTTTTTAAAACTGTTGAATAAAAATCGGCACATCGTTTAAATTATAATTAACTAGTGTCTTAACATAATAAAACTAGTTGAATACATTTTCCCGCCATCATGGCTTTGTTTCCAAAGCATCTTGTTTTTGAAATACACTGTTGGACTTGTTTGAAAAGGTAAATCATAATGAACGTTATCTTTTACAATGCTACATCACTAATATTCATAGAATGATAAAAAAACATTGTATATTAAGATATGTGTTTTGTATATACTTGTTCTTACATTATTTTCGAATCAAGCATCAAGCTAGTCATTCGAAAATTGGTAACTTAATTATTGCTATCAAAATTTATGTTTTTTATATCCAAGTTAAGAGAAAAAGATGATTTTATTTTTTTTCCTAACCACTACTTCAATTCTTACAACTTAATTTCTTAAAAACATATACACTGAATTATTTTTTGAGCGAATCGCATTTGTCTTTATCAATGATTTCTACGATGTTAGTAGCTATATACAGGAACTTTGTTCCACAGTTTTAATAGAAAAAAATACAAAGTGATAATAGATAAAAGTGATTTATTCACACAGACTGATTTCACAAAACGTTGAGTACAATATTAATCACAAAAATAAAATTTCAGCCAGAATTTGACTATGTTGATTATATAATATTTGGATATATTTGGCAAATAATATTCTTGGGTATGTCTGAATGTAAAAATAAAATACAATTTTCAACAAAGAACATGACAACGCCATGAAACAAGGTTTCCACAATAGTCAATGCAAACACGGCACACTCTCATATTTTTCTGATTAACAAACTGATAAGGTAAACGTAAAAAAGGTCAAGGTCATACTAGAATTACCTAATTTTATGTTTTGATTGGTCCATTAGAGTAAGCAATACATGCCAAAATGACACATCCCTATCCCCCAAACCTTTAATGTGCTGAAAGATCATTTAATAAGTGCAAGCGAAATGATTATGAAATGGTATGTGTTAATTGATAAGGAAACACACAGTACCCAATTATCTTTTCATCATAGTAGGTATGGCAGGTTTCGGTTTAGAGATAATAAGTAGATTGATTGATACCAAATTAAAGTGTTTCATTAATTTAAAGATTTTAAAGTTATTTAAGATCAGAAATGTTTTAAATAATTGCACAAACAATTGGGCGAGTTATATGTACAAGTCACATTCAATGCAATAAAATTATGATACAAGTACTTCTAAGATCTTGCACAGTGTAATAAATTTCTACCTGGGATTTAGATAAAAGATATTTATTTCTTAACCCCGTTCCACTGATTAACATAGTATAACAGATAAGCCAATATACAAAATAAACAAAACATTATGTTTAAAGTCAGAACAGCTACGATTTAAAAGGTATATATACTCAACTTCTTTTCTAATATGATTGTCACACCATTGGCTAGATACTACAATTCTAATAATGAAGTGTTACTAAAACATCATTGAAGTCATTCATTAGTCATGCTCGATTATGAATTTACAATTTCATTTTAAAAGAAACCTTTTAAAAAAAACATAAATTCAACACATTTATTTTTCTTTTTCCGAAGTGAGTTTGGCTTCCCGAACTTTATTAAGTGTTGTAATATTTAACTGGTTCTTCAGGGTTGATTATGCAAATGATTGTGATGTTATGGATTCAATACAACTTTAACCGGTCCTAAAGGATGGGAAATACTTTGCATTTAATATTTTATGACAAGCACAGACTCAATAGGACCGTTTCTGTGATTTTTAGCCTTTTTTATTTTTTTTTATTTTGATCATTGCTGTTGTACGACTTTCCCTTCCCTTTCCAGATATTTTGCGCATAAACATTATCTATAAAACAAAATAAAATTCTAAAAATGTAAAATGTAAAATGTAAATATATTAATATGTGCTGTATGTACAGAAGGTACCATAATATTTTGAGTTTATGACGGATATGTATGTTTCAGATTTTTTTCTTTACCACTTCATCGGCATGGTGTGCATGCTCTTTGGCCATTCTTAGATAAGCTCTCAAAAAAAGAAGTATCGGAATAGATTCTCGCCATGTAAAGTGATCCCTTTCCTCAAAATTTACAACAGGAAACACTTTTGGGGCTGGAATTGCAAGTTGCTCAGCTACTTTATTCACAGCCTGTTGGGTTTTCTTACATCGGAAAATGGACTCGACATTGTATTTTACTTGGGCGGACAGCTTGTCAGTTTTTGTCAGAACGGCAATCACAGGGATATCTGAAATAAAAGATTTTGCTTCAAATTAGTGGAAAACGACATTATAAGCTACACTTTCAAATTTCAATAATCATTAGCCAAAATAAATCGAGACTATAACTGATCTATATTTTGACAATTCCGCTGTAAAATGATCTACATATAAATTTACTAAAACGGATCATACATTAAAGCGAATAAATAACACAATATTCATTTTGTAGGTCTAAAATATTTCATCACAATAATAATTAAGGCGATTAGAATTGATGAACTAGTATTTTATTGTTACTTTCAATTGTCTTGCAGACAATAAATATTTTTTAAAAGACTAATTTACAAAATACACGCGCAGCAAATCTAAACATCGATATTAATTCAAAATGAAATACGAGCGTAACAGCAAAGATTAAATACCCATTTTAAACGTTACAAAATAGTGCAGACATATAAGTAATGACTACATACTTTTACTTGCGTGCGAACTCTTGTGCTTTTAGAACTGGGTTATAACATGATATGACAAGAGAATGGCAGGAGAATTTGACGGTGATATCGATCCCAGTGAAAAATGTTATTATTTTTCCATACACAAATATAAATATCTTTCATAGAACGTAGATAGTATTCGTTTTTTTTAAAAATAAGCAAGAGTAATCTGACATGAAAAAATAATAATAATGAAGCATGTGTAGTAAAGTATGTCATTGATATTAACATTTTCCCTCATATAGACGTGTTGACGGCTTTTCGCCCACCCCCTTTCACGCCTCAAACAGTGAAAAAATGCACTATTTTGGCCTCAAACACTGTTTTCTCGTTTGAGAAATGTTGATAAAAAAGGTCATCACTTTTCGGCGCGGCCCCCTATCAAAAAGGAACATCAAGTGGTTGCCATGAGAGGGATGTGCCCCATCCTGTTTCGGGGGTTTGAAGGGAGAGGCAGCCCCCCTCCTACCCAATAATTTTTTGGACATGTGACAGGCAAAAAATGGCCTCAGGTCGTTCTTAGGGTAACAAGTAACCGACGCTGAAAAGCCTTTTACTCAATCTCAATTCATTGAGAAGTTGCAGCACTTTGAAATCAGTTTTGATGAAAAAACAATGCAAAATAATGATTTTTGGCAATTTTGAGACGTCTCCCCGTTGCCATGGTAGCAGGAAATTTAAGATTGAGCATGCTGTTACAGAGGCTATGGTCTAGTCAACATTTGTGCCAAATTTATCAGTATTGAAGCATTTTTCATAGTTGTAACAAGAATCTTTTCAACAAAACGGCCATTTTTCACAATATGCCCATGGGGTAAAAGGTTTATTAAAAAAAAATGTCAAAAACAATAATTGTTCACCAAAATTAGGTGTAAGGGCACATGGAAGAAACAAGTTTTTTGGAAATTCCAAGGTTTTTAATCATTTTTTGTTTACCTTTTTCATCATTTAGACGTGTTTTGATGGCTTTTTTCCCCTCCTCCCTTCTTGAGGCCCCAAACAGTGAAATATTTCCTATTTAGGCCCCAAACACTGTTTTTCGTTTGAGAAATGTTGTTAAAAAATGACCACTTTTTTCGACGGCGCCCCTATCAAAATGGTACATCAAGGGGTTGCCAGAAGGGAGATGTGCCCCCTTCTGTTTGGGGGTGAAGGGGGCGGTAGTAATTTTGGACATGTGACAGGCTAAATTGGCCCCAGGTCGATCTTAGGGTTTACTTGTAACCGACGCTGAAAAGCCTTTTACTTTATCTCAATTCATTGAGAAGTTGAAGCACTTTGAAATCAGTTTTAATGGGAAAAAACCAATGCAAAATAGTGATTTTTGGCAAATTTGAGACGTCCACCGTTGCCATGGTAACAGGAAATTTACGATTGAGCATGTTGTTACAGAGGCTATGGTCTAGTCAACATTTGTGCCGAATGTCATCAGTATTAGAGCATTTTTGATAGCTTCATAGCAGTTTGAACGGCCATTTTTCACAATATGCTCATAAATAGTATAGAGATCGAGCCTGTGTCGTATAAGTAAGTTAGGAGTATTGATTTACGGGTAAAGCGTGAAGAGTTGGGAAAACGTGATGAAAGACTGAAAATTTGAATCGTATGAAAACAATGTTATATCGATAGAAAGGTGAATAATTTACGATAGTTAGTAAACATGAGCAAAACAACTTTATATGATGCGTAAATATCAGATATAGTATTTAATGATATGTGAAGCGAATAAACTTTTTTTAGTGTTTCAAAATGTGTTGTGTTAAGTAGCAAAATACTGCAATCAACCAGTGTATAATGTATGCTATAAGAGATTGTTAATATTTTTGGTTTACGATATTAATAAATCAATTAATCATACAGAACACACTTTTAATCATAATTCGGAAGTTCATTAAACACATGTATTCAATTCAGTGCATTTTAAATCATCAACCTGTCAGAAAAGGAATATAGATATTTCAATTACTCGTGAAATTGCCGAACATAAATAAAATTTCACTTATTAATTATATTATTTTTGTTTAATGAATCATTAAAACTGACGAAGAATTCTAATAACAACTTAGAAAATAATTCAACAAAGTGAACAGTAGTTAGATATAAAATAGCCATACGTTAAAGTTCAACAGCATGAAGTTATAGAAATATCGTTATATTTTGCATTTTAAAAATGGAAGATTTGATTCTAATATGATTAAATTTAGACTATATGATGGAAAATCCCTTAAAATAAAGTAGTGAACGTACACGATTTCTACATTAATTAAGTAAAATTAAAGAAAACTGATCCTTTGAACATGCACTATTATTTAATAAGCCTTGAACTATCAGTTATCAATTAAGATTAGAGTGAACGAAGTTCGTTGTTTACAAAGTTACATTTAAAAACATGTATTTTCGACTTTTGAAGAATGTACATGTAAAGTTGTAGAGATTGTAAATATTGAAAATTCGTAAAACATTTTACAATTAAATCTTTTAAAACAGAATTCATCAGGTTAAGGCGACATTAGTATATATAGTTACATAGTAAATACTACAACATTATGATGTTTTTAGAATCTTATTTCTGGTTTTTATACAATTAGAAGAGTTTTGTTATCGTTATTCTATTACATCAGATAACACCAAAATGTTAAAATGTAAATGAAGATTGCAACTGAAGTCTTCTAATGTTGACACAGTCATTTATTTGTGAATGTACTGTTAAAATAGCGTACAAAAACATGTAAATACCCCCGATACAAAAGTGTTCAGCTTTGAACAGCGTATTCATTTTCTGGTATTCAATAAAAATATACTGAAAGATCAACATTCGAAATTAAAGCATATCTCTCAAATTTTGTCGTTAAACTATAGCTTTAGTAACTATTTCCCTAACATTTATATACTACTCAAAATTTGCTAAGGATCACTTTTTCTACAGTGTGTTAATGTTGTGTATTTGTAATAAATGTGACAAATTGATTAAAAGGAATTAAATATAATTAGTTAGGAATTGATTTTTATGAAAATAATGACAATTTGAGTGTTTCTTAACATGTGCCTGTTGCGGAAAGAGTGTGCTGGACGAAAATCAACATTTTGGAGATCACATGGTGGAATAATTGAAAATGTTGCAAATCAAGAAATGGTTTGCGTAGTTTGTTTGATACCGAGTATGGTGTCCGCGGGCATTAACTACGGCCTGAAATCGCCGCCGCATGCTGCTGATGAGCCTGTGGATCTTGTGATAAGGAATCTGGGCCCATTCCTCTATGATTGCATGTCTTAGCTCCTGAACTGTTGGTTGGACGTGGCGTGACGAAAATGGCTTTCTGCAGCATATCCAAAGCATGCTCAAATTGGATTTAAATTCGGGGACCTCTCTGGTCTATCCATGTAGACTATAGTTGCCGTCTCAAGATATCGGTTTCTGATGTATGCTCTGTGTGCGCGGGCGTTGTCATCCATAAGAATGAAATCAGGGCCGACTGAGCCAGCGTACGTGCGTACATGGACATTTAAGATTTCATTGACGTACCTTACTGCCGTCAGTGAAGCGTTTTCAATGATGTGTAGGTCCGTTTTCCCCTGAGCGCTTATTCCCGCCCACACCATGACTGAACCCCGCCAAAATGGTCGTGTTCTGCAACGCATGCTAGAGCTAAGCGTTCATTTGGATCTCCACAAACACTAGCCCGTCTGTCCGTGAAGTCCACACAAAACTCATCAGTTAAGAGGACCGAGGTCCAATCATTAACTGTCCATGTGACATGAGGCTGTGCCCATTGCAAACGCTCTTGAATATGGCGTTGTGTCAAATGAATGCGAATTGCTGGCCTCTGTGACCTGAGCCCAGCATCATGCAACCTGTTTCTTACAGTTTGTGTGCTTACACGCACACCAGTTGCATTCTGAAAGTCGTTACGTAAGGTCGTAGCGTTCGAGAACCGTAAGTGTCCGTCCTGAAGGACAATAAATCGGTCCTGGGCTTTAGTCGTTGAACGTTTCCGACCTCCAGCGTTGCCCTGCAAGATATTTCCAGTAATTTGGAACACTCTAGGATACCCCAAGGACATGGGCAACGTGCCTTTGTGAACGGCCAGCCTCCAACATTCCAATACCCATGTTCATCTCATATTCACCAAGACGACGTCTAACCTGTCGGTTTGCCATAGTTTGTTAATTTCTGACACAGTTGTACAATAATACGAGAGAGGTCTTGCTGCTTGCACACGTTTAAGCCATATACCACCAAATTTCAATTGGTATGCTTTTCCACGTGCTTTTCGTGCAAGGTTTACTTGACAAATCGAAGTACACGAATTATAGTTAAAGTAAACTACAAATTGACTAAGACGAATATATTAAAACGAATATTATTCTAACTGGTCATTGACCATATAGACTTCAGCCGGTTTTATGAATACAGGGGCACTAATTGAAGATCTTCTTCAATGACATTATCTATCTGCTATAATGATGTTTTATGGTGTTTAACAGACAATTTGTATATCAGAAACACCCATTTATTGTCTTTGAATGTGCAA